AAAAACATTTTATTGATAACAATATTAAAACAATTTTACCAAACATAAAAAATAAACGTAAACAAATCTTATTTGTGTAACACTAAACATTAATAATTAATAATTAAAAAAATTAAATCAACATTTTAACTAAAAAATACAAAAAACGCCTACTTGGCAGCATGAAACAAAATTAATATGTTGTCAATTTAATAGGCTTTAAATAAATATGTGTACACTACACAATTTTATTCATGAAATTTACGAAAACAATTACTTTTTTTAGTGAAACACAAATGGGTACCGCATTTTATACAATAAACATGTGTACGTCCCGTACAACCTTCAAACTTGCACCGTATTGCTTCTTTTCGATCATCGTACTCTGGATGGTGTCCGTATTGATCTTTCCTTACTTCTTCGAGCGGTCTTTTATCGACGTTTTTTGGTAATCTAGTTGGAGTTATATTTATTGAATTTGAACTACTGGGACGTCCTCTTCGTTTTGATGTAGGAGTTGAAGGACTACCAATCATAATTAAACTTTCGGCAAGGTGTTGTTTAAAATGTATCAAATCCATAATTTCTTTTGTAGGAATTTTAAGGTTTATAGCATCTCTTTTGTACTCAAGCCACGAATTAACTACTGCCATATCAAATATGTGGAAAAGCATACGTAAAGTCCACTTTTTGGATTTAATAAATGTACGATAATAACTTACCAGCTGGTCGTGTTTGTCTACACCACCCATACTTTTATTGTATAAATAAACAACTTCGGGACATTCAATAAAAACCAGTGATTTTTTTTTTACGATCAAATCTTTGTACCATAATTGGTGTTTTCGAAGAAATGAAATTTGATCCGAGCTGTACAGCTTTATTATCAAACCACTTTACCAAAGCAATATTATGATTTTAACATATCTCGAAACTAGTTCCTCGGCCCATTTTAGCTAGTTGTTTATCTTTTGGAAACGGGGGGTTATTGAATCTATTTATTCGGATTGTTCCAGCAGCAAATATTTTATACTTTGATAAACAGCAAAATAAGTTGTAAGAGGAGAAATAGTTGTCAAAAAATAAAAAGTGTTTKTTAGGCTTTAAATTTTCAACCAATTTTAAAACGATTGCTCCACCTAGACCAAAATTTTTTTTGCATATTTTCATCGATTTGTGTAGACGATCCTTGATATAATAAAAGATTATAGACTAATCCACTTTGTCCACACAACAAAAAATTTTTTATTCCCCACGGTGATGGTTTACCCCTAATATATTGTTTTATTGATAAATTTCATTTAAAAGGAACAATTTGTTCGTCCACACTTAGATTTTGTTCAACAGGTAACTGGGCACAGCGTTTAATAAATGAGTTATACAATGGACGAATTTTCACAAATTTATCGATGTTTTCTTTGGGTATGGCTTTATTATCTACGACATGGAAACAACTACGAAGTTCAAAAAGTCTATTCCTGGTCATGTTATCCGCGATTAAAGGACCTCTAAAATTTTTTTCCCAATAMATCCTAACTCTTGGATATTTTAGAACACCAAAAAGCATATGTATTGCAATCATAGTTTTCATTTCATGAGTAGAAGTATTTTTTAATTTTTTCAAATTTTTCTGAGCAGCATATATATTTGTATATTTTGCCATGTTTGTGAAATCGTCATTAGAAAAATATTTAGTAAAATAATCAATTGGGTTTAAAATATTGGTCAAAACCGGCTGATTTGAATCAGGTTGTATTGTAATGATTGGAGGAGTAAACGGAACAATTTTTCCAAAATATATTTTTTTTTAATATTGGAATAAATCTAGACCATTTTTTTGTACTAGTATAAGAACCTAATGTAAAAGAAGTTGTATTTTGAATCGGCTGGAATGATAAATCTAATGGAACTACATTTTCATTTATTTGTTCGTTCACCTGAGAGGCTTCGGGTTCTATTTCTATTCGTTCATCAGCTTCATCCATTTCAACCATAAATTCAGCCAATCCTTGAAAGTCATTATCGAAGTCGTCTAAAAGATTCTCTAATTCTCTATCAGGAAAATTGACTGTCACATCTTCGTCACTTGACAGTGATGATAAATCAGAATCAAGACCAGTACCAAGTAACCTAACAATATCTTCTTCTCGAATCATTTTAAACTAACTAATAGTCTACTGTAAAAGTGTAAAATAAATACAACAACAACAGCAACACAATAAAATATACGATCTACAAATATTTTAATTCGTATTAACTGACAACAGCTAAATAAAAAATGATAAATATTCAATGTAACATAGAGTAATAAACAACAACAGCAACACAATAAAATATACGATCTACAAATATTTTAATTCGTATTAACCATTGGGTATTACTCTATGGTATTAACTGATAACAGCTAAATAAAAAATGATAAATATTCAATGTAACATAGAGTAATATTACTCTATGCAATGCAATAACGGACATCTAATAATATAATATAATATTGTATAAAATTAATTCGTCTAATCYCATTGTACATTGTAATGTATAACCCCTGGGGGTCTATTTTTGAACTTGATCGAATCGTATTAGTGATCTAATACGTCCATTTTCGATCATCTATTCGATTAAGTATACAAAATTGTATTTTTGAATTCAATCTAATGATTAGTAATCGAATAAGTAAACTAATTATTCGATTACTATATTAGGTTGCTCATTATTAATCTAATAACATTTTAGATTAGTTATTCGTTTTTTCCTTATCACAACTCGTAGTGTTAAATGTCATAAAACAATTTTTTTTACTATAAATTCTTCATTAATTTATTCTTTAGAGCATAATTAAAATAATTAAGTGAAAAATATGGATTTATTACTTAATTTAAATCATCTACAAATGATTAGAAATCTTGAAGAGTTGGAACTCGAAAGGAATGATAATCGACGATTTTAYAYCGYTGAAAATGCATTGGACGGTATTAACTATTTATTTAAATACATACATAAAACTATTTTAGTGTAAAACAAACTAACTCACGATATGTATTAAGATTTAAATGATCGTCAGTTCATCAAAAAGTTTAGACTACCTAAACAAAACGTCCGAGATCTTATACATGAACTATCTCCATTTATGATCCATCCTACTAGACGCTCTGCTATTACTATCGAACGAAAGGTATTTTGAAATATCAAAATAAAATTTATAATAATTTTGTACCTATAGACGTCATATAACACATTCAAACAATAACATTTGAACATAAACATAGRTGTTACTGCATTACGTTTTTACGCAAGCGGTTCTTACCAGCAAGATATTGGCGAAAATAGAGCTTCTTCGATGAGTCAGTCAGCTGTTAATCAGTGCATAACAGAAGTTACCGAAGCTGTAAATCAACCGCTAGTTTTCAGTAAACATGTTTATTTTCCTAGAACTATAGAAGAGTTGAACATTGTCAGGCAAAAGTAAATTTTAAACCTCCGTCTAAAAACCATCTAATTAAATTATATTAAATTTATTTTAAAGATTTTTCGARAAGTATAGAATTCCTGGTATAGTAGGAATTGTGGATGGTACGCATATCGCTATTGTACCTCCTAAGAGTGAGGGTATGTATCCGGAGCATAATTACGTCAATTGGAAAAATTATCACTCCATTAACACTCAGTTGGTAAGAATAATCCTATTACAATTATTAGATAGATAGCGAATGCGTCAAGTATTTTTTTTATAAATGTTTTATTAGATTTGCSATTCTAATATGAAAATAATAAATGCCAATGCGAGATATCCGGGTAGTACACACGATGCCTATATTTGGAATAGGAGTAATATTTCTAATACTATGCAGCAACTTCATAGAAATGGCTACCATTCATATTGGATGTTAGGTAGGTATATATGCTTGCTAGTTAATTTTTATAAATTTTGAATTTAAATTTAAAATTATGTACCTAAGTGTTCAATAAAATCATTATAGCAGATTCTGGTTATGCTCTAAGGCCTTGGATGATAACTCCTTTACACGATCCACAACAAAACACACCTGAAGCTGATTTTAATAAATGGTTTTTAAAAACAAGATCTCTTATTGAAAGATGTAACGGTGTATTAAAAATGCGATTTCGGTAAAATAAATTATAAAATGTTATTGTACGTAAGCAGTTAAATAAGTTTTAACATTTTTTTCAGTTGTTTGTTAAAACATCGAGTGTTACATTATGAACCTTTAAAAGCATCTAAAATAATTAATGCATGTGTAGTCTTACATAATATATGCATCGATAACAATGTTGCCAATGACGACATAATTTGTGAAGACGATATGATTTTTGACGAAGACGATCTAGGAGTTATTCATAATGTAAATAATGACCAAATGCGAGCTATAAATCCCTTGTTGGTTGCTGGTCGAAACATGCAGAAAACAATAATCCAACAATATTTCACAACATATTAACGTATTAATCATATTTTAAAATATTTTGTTTTATTTCTTCTTAATTTTAGGTAGGTAGGTATAATAGAATAGAAGCAAGAATAAAAAATAAAGTATTTATTTATTTAAATACATAACAATGCTAGTTAAGCTTTCTGCCACTTTGCTTTGCAAAGCCAAGCTTGCAGAATAATATTTTTGATTGTTTTCAATTTCAATTTCTTTGAGTTTCAATTTTCTCTCATAATAACTCTCCTTTAGTTTAACCAATTGTTCGCTAACATTGCCCAARTGTGTGTTGTCGCTTCCGCCGTTTTGCTGAGTCTTTGAATTTTATTCGACTTCAATTCACTATTAAAAGAATTTATTTTAATATAAATTGTGTAAATTTTATTTACAAATAATTTCTACACAAATAAAATATATATTATTATAATATACTATTTTATTTTATTGTAATTAGGTACGCTAATATTCTAATTTAATTGTTATTTGTTATTAATGTTATTCAATGACTATATATAATATATAA